TGGAAACACTGAGTGAAGACAGAACCAAATAATCAACAAGCGTGTTCACATGGGATGTCAGACAGAGTGAAATGTTCCTGAGGTCAGAGAAGTGAACACTGTCATGAAGTTAGGACTCACTGTTTACAGCAACATCACTGTTTACCTCATGACCATATGGTCATATGAATGTTACATGCTAAGCCAAAGCACAGCTGCACTGGAAATCCTAACTTAGTATGACAGACATGATTCCCGAGAAACGTGAAGGTCAGAGAGATGGACTTGCGACCAGAAGCTCCCTGAGTATCCTGATCTCTGGACAGGCAGGTCGGTCTGTGTGGGTGCTTGCATTCCCTCATTATCTCCATGGAGGTGACCCTGAGCAACACCCTTAACCTACAGCTGCTCCAGTGGAGCTGCTCATCGGCCTGAATCTAACTGTAGAGTTAGAAAGGACCTGGCTCTTGAGGAAACAACCCTAAAGAAACAAAAAATGCTATACTGAAGCTAAGCTGTACCTTTAGCTCCCATTAGCCTCAGCTAGTTAGCTACAAGTTAGCCCAACCTACACAAAAAGTCCAGCAAAGTCTGACAGTGTATGGCAGAGCCTGACAAACTAAGTGTGAGATTCTGTGTTAATTTGCTAATCATGTTAACCATTGGTGTATTAAAACAGCTAAATATGGCCGCAGTGGTCAAACATGGTACTGCAATAAGACATCCCATGCAGCCCAAAAAGCCTTTTTCCTATTTTTCCCAAACTACTGACAGGGCTCCTCCATCTGCAAACAGCTGAAATATTATCAGATAATTGTTGCATAATGAATTCTACCTAATTTTATATTTATTAGTACGCGTGACAGCAAGAAGAGCTTCTGTGTTTGTTTTATGTTGAACAACAAGTAAAACACAAAAAGAGAAAATTTAATCCCCAGCTGCTTCACAAGAACAGGATCAGTGACAGGAAATTGGTATGGGAGATGAGGAGCATGCACAGTTGACACACAGCTCTGCATACAGTCGGTGCAGGGACGAACTCTGGGGCGAGCAGATGAACATTACGTCACACAGACCAAAGCGGACCCTCGCAAACAATTAAATTGGCTTTCAGCATGGCAGCTTTGTTATTCTAGTATTCAGCTCAAAGGTCATCTGAGTCCAAGTCCTGCTGAAGAGTTGAGCCCGACAAGCTGAGAGTCTGAGATGTCCTAAAAAGGCCACCGTACAGAGAATAAAACCATTGGATTTAAGTCACAGTACGACCTCTCCTCAGGACAAACTTCACATTTTATATCCCACCAATAGTGAGAATAGAGATGCTCCCACTGTTTAGTTTTCTGGGGTGTAATGAACATTACAGCCTCACAGGGGCCACAAGTCTGCACACACACCAGACGAGCTCATAAACCTGCTTCCTGTCGAGTCCCAGGTGAGACTCAGTCCCTGATTGGATGTAATGAAAAACATCAGAGGTCTGAATGGGACTGCAAACAGAAACATAAAGAGGGTTTGGAGCTCAGCTGGGCTCTCCTCCAGAAACCAGTGTGTGTGTGTGTGTGTGTGTGTGTGTGTGTGTGTGTTTTGTATGTGATGAGGAGACACCGACTCCCATCACTGTTACATAACAAGCTCATCTTCTCGCTGTATCAGCCTGTGCTGCAGAATGAGAAACATCGCCCAGGGCGGGTGATAGTGGTGTTTGTGGGAGCTGAGGGTCACTCTTCCCCCGTTACATAAAGCATAGAGTTCTTCTTCTGTCTACGATCCACAGAGCACTGCTTGCATTTCAAAGCTGTGTCTCTGCTGTGATTCAGTTTCAGGTAACCGTGTTAAGGAGGCTTTTCACCGACATCTGCGTGTTCATTTCATCTTCAAAAGCTCAGACGGTAATCCAATTAGGAGTCAAGAGTGAAGCACAGCAGGCTGTAAACATGAAGCTTCCAGTAAACTGAGTAACAGCTCTCAACACTGTTCATGTCTCTAATTCAGCCTTTAGGTGTTTTTATGCTGTAACACCATATTAAGCTGCTGCAGGGCTGATTCAGGAGATACAGCACTGCAGCAGCTGAAGGCAACAGGTTTGAGTGCTTTAAAATCAACAGCTAGAACAAAGTGTAAATCCAAAATTAGAGGGTGGAAGTTCATTTAAACCTCAGAATCAGTTTGTTTTGACAAAATTATTTCAACTCAACTGCTTCAAAAGCCTTTTTACCATTTATTCATCCATCCATATTGAACTGCTTATCCGAAACCGGATCGTGGGGGCAGCAGGGTGACCCAAGTATTCAAGACACCATTCTTCCCAGCAACACTTTCCAGTTCCTCCTGGAGGACCGAGGCGTTCCCAAGCCAGATGAGATATATAATCCCTCCAGCATGTTCTGGGTCTGCCCCGGGGCCTCCTACCAGTTGGACGTGTCCAAAAACACTAGGGCTGTAGTCTCCTGGTAGATTATTTGGTCGATATGCTCCGTCCAACCAAATTGGTCAATAATGTTACTTTCATAAGGAGAAAAGTGCTACATCAACAGCTTTCCAGGATTAATCCATTATTTCCTGCGGTGGGGGGGACAGGCTAAGTTACCTGTGAAAATGGGGGTGTTTTGTGGGGAAAATGTGTCCAGATAAAGACAAGTGTTTGTCTGTCAATGCTGAGAGTTATAGTGAAGCTGATTTGTGTACTTGTGTTTGAAATTGTCTCTATTAAGCCATGTTTAATGTGTGTTTAATGTGTGTTTTGAATCAACTATTTAAATAAAGTTTGATTTGAACTAAACTTTACAGCACTTAACACAGTCCTCCACTGCCGACTAGTGTTTTGGAGGTGTAACTGCAGAGTGACACAGACACACCACCGAAGAAGTAAAATAACGTGCAGATTTTTTTCTTCCCACGACTAATCGTTTAGTTCAAGATTATGTGCGACTTTAGTAGACCAAGATTTTCTTTGGTTGACTACAGCCCTAAAAAACACCTCTAACAGGAGGTGTCCAGGAGGATCCTGATCAGATGTTGAACCACCTCAACTGACCCCTTTAGATGCGAAGGAGCAGCAGCTCTACTCCGAGCTCCCTCCAGACTTCTCACCCCGTCTCTAAGGCTGAGCTCAGACTCCCCACGGAGGAAACTAATTTCAGCCGCTTGTATCCGCGATCTCATCCTTTCGGTCACTACCCAGAGCCATAGGTGACCATAGGTGAGGGTTGGGGCATAGATGGACCAGTAAATCAAAAGCTTTGTCCTCTGGCTCAGCTCCTTCTTCACCACAACGGTCCACAGCACTGGATTCACTGCAGACACCATGCTAAACCACCAATCCATCTCATGCTCCATTCTACCCTCACTCATGAACAAGACCCCGAGATACTTGAACTCCTTTGCTTAGGGAGTAACTCTCTCCCAACCCAGAGGGGCAATCCACTGTTTTCCAGCAGATAACCATGGCCTCAATCTTAGAGGCGCTGACTCTCATCCCTTTTTATAATACACAGTATATCTTAATTTCCTCTCTAATATCTATTTTATAGTGATGTGAAAACATCAAACAGCTGTATTTATTCAAGTCTTTAAAAAGATTACACTGGAACAAATGATGAGAGCTTTATAATTAACCTTCACCTAGGGTGACCATATTTTGATTTCCAAAAAAGAGGACACTCGGCCGGCCACGACATAGCCTACTTAAATGATACTCGCAGTTTACTCAAAGATGCCTTATAATTTTAATATATTTAAAATTTATATGTATGGATAGAAAATTCAGTTATATTACAAAATAATATCTCTCAAAGACAGAAATTCAGATAGGCCCCTATAGATAGGGGACACATACACACACTAGAGTGTGGCGATCTGAGCCCAACGGTATCCGACGGGTCGGCCGGGTTTGGTCAAAAATGTAGCTATAAATTGTATTCGGGCTCGGGTCGGATTCGGTCAGCTTTCCGTGAAAATGTAGTGTAAAAATAAATAAAATCCTATTGTCTGTCCTGTTTATTGCTTGGGCACTGTTATTTACGTGACAACACCTGAACATAACACACACAGACACACATTGGCTGTTTGTTTCTACCTCTCCCCTCGCTGGAAGTCTCGGACCTCCAGCCGCCCGCCTCCGCCTTGATTAAACGCTGAAAATAAAATAAAAGAGGGAGACAGGTTTTTCCTATTTTATCTTATTTTGTTTTATGTCTCCCTCTCCTCTCGCTGGAAGCGTCGGACCTCCCGCCTCCTGCTCCCGTCTCACACACGGAGGTCTCCCTCTCCGCTGAGCACGCCCAGCCTGTTAAATAGCCTGTAACCCTAACAACTGTGTGACACACACTCAGTGCTTTGGTCATTAAATAATGTCGGACTCGGTTCGGGTTCGGACAGAAATATGCGGCCCGTGCCGCACTCTAACACACACACACACACACACACACACACACACACGGAAAACCGGACATTATCATCAGTTTATAAAAACCCCCGGACGCCCCGGACGGGACATGAAAAGTGGACATGTCCGGGCAAAAGAGGACGTTTGGTCAGCCTACCTTCACCCAGTACTCATTTGTACCGAAGAGAGCTTGAATGCATCATAATGTAACCCAGTGCAACCTCCATCAGCTGTTGGTTTTGGCAACTAGCTGCTAACAGCTAACAGGTAATGTAACTGGCTCTCATGCTGCTGATGTCAACACACGTTTGTTGCTCCCAGTGTAGCTTTATAAGGAAACAATGGGGTGCCTGCCGTGGGTCGCAGATTATTGTGACCTTACTTGAACGTTTAACCTTCACTGTGCAGAATGATGTATGTGCAGAGTTTGACAACAAAACTCCTTTTCCACATTAATGTGTTGAAATGGGAGAGTTTCTCTGCGCTCACCTTGAACTTCAGTTCAAGACACATAAATAGGTATGAAAGGATTTTGTGACACCATAACTAGTTTGATAACCAATTGTGATCCAAGATGCAGTGCAATGTGATGATTGATTTTTATGTTTTAACCACAGCAGGAGGAGGTAGAACTCACTGTGGTCTGGAGGCTTCAGCTTGGTCTGTCTGCAGCTTCTCTCCTCCCTCCACCTCCATGGTGCAGTAAACGATCCGGTTCGGAGCCACAGACTTCAGACCCTGGACCTCCACAATCACAATCTGAAAACACCAGCAGAGAATTACAAAACATGGCACCTCTTCACACCACTTGTTTCATGAGTGTGCCATTTTTTTTCTCTGAATGATACTGTCTGCAGAATATCAAAAAACTTGAATTTAGAAATTTGTAAACATAGCAGGTGACATCTTTACTTTAAGTCTTTCTATCCAATCAACCGTCTAAAACTCAGTTTACTTCATAGATGATTTAAAGGATTAATAAATGATCAGCATTGGTGCCAATGACTGTCAGTAACTGTCAGGATTTTATGCATTGCTACCTCATCTTTTCTTGTATTTTTTCTTAACAGGAAAACTAAATTAACATGTCACGTGTCATGAAATCATACACCAGTTCCAGCAGTTATCTTTTCAGCCAACTACCAGGAGAACAGATCAGTTAAGACTCAGACCTCCAGAGTAAACGACAGCACGACATCAGACTTGGACAGGATGTCCCCCTCATCTCCCATGTCCAGGAAGGAGTTGTTCATGGAGGAGCGTTTGAGCTTCTGTTTGAAGTCTGGACCTCCTTTGGACACTGGCAGACTCTCCAGGTTCGCCATGAGAAGGTTGACTGCAGAACGCAGCTCCTCCACGTAGAGAGGCTCCATGTCAGCAGAGACAAACTTTGGGTATCTTCTCTCCTGCGGGACGGACAGTCAGACGCAGTTCATCACCAACACATTCCCTTCACAGCAACTTCTTTCACCAGTTGGGAAGAATTTTTTGGCGGTTAAAAATCTGACGCCAGCAAAAAGAAGACAGAGTTCCAAACTTTGTTTTATCTACAACTCTGCTCTCTGTTTTACAAAAAAATATAACAAGACTTTTAGTTGTTCTAGTCAGGATATATTCTTCTATTTGTGCTGTTTTTGATTGCCCTGTATGTGAAAAGGACCCAGTTGACAAAGAAACACTGTTCATGAAGGAGAAAATTTAATTGGGGAAAAAAAGTGTTGTTAGTCTACTGGGTGGTGGATAGTGGACAATTAGGGTTTTTTTTTTTTTGTGTTAGTATGTGAAGAGAGATGTGCATCTATTTTTACAATCAACAAAGGCCAGTCTAGAGAGTCAAGTGAATTGATTAAGTGTGGAAAATAAAAGCAAGATTTTAGCAAAGACATTTTTTAGCTGCATTAATAGATCTGTTGTCCACTTGAGGGCAGCAGAATGAAAAATATTTGGCTCTTTGACAGCTTCATGTTCCACTTTCCTCACCAGCTAGTCGTTAAAGCCCTGTTTCCATCGAGCAGTACGGTTCAGTTCAGTTCGGTAGGTTTTTTTTCTGCTTCCACAGTGAAAAGTTGTGGATGGTACCAACAGAAGCGTTCCTTAGCGTCCCCATGTTTGGTCCCCCCTCTGTTGGGGTACCTAGCACACAGATCTGGTACTAAAAGGTGGAGCTAGAAACCCTGCAGTCTGATTGGTCACTAGAGGACGGTCACTCTGGTTTTAGGTGGAACGTTAACTTGTAATGTTACTCAATGCATGAGTTGATGACGTGAATCCATCGGCACACCTTAAATTTCACTGTGACAACTTTGACCATCACTTTAGTTTTTATATGACACACACTTTTAATAATGACTTTAAAAATATAGATTAATTTGGAGCAGATTATGTGAAGGTCATATATTCTAATCCTCACTTCCTGTGGGCTACAGCAACACTAAACCCCTGAGCTTGCCTGAGAAGGACTAAATGCACAAAGCTGCTATTTTTAAATATCCCATGGAGAGAGACTCTCACTGCAGCCTGTTCTATTTTGTTGTGAAAATGTGGGCGTGCAGCCTCGTTCTGTGGACGATAAACCAGGTGCAGACTTCCATCTGTGTCACAGCTGATGAGGAAATACAGCGAGTGCTGGACGGAGCAGTGAGTGACAACAACCCAGCCCACATTTAAGAGGACTGTCTGAACACACCGAGGGTCTAGGTACCATGTCTGAAGGCTTACTGCTGGTTCCAAAGGTGCTGGACTGAAAGTGTTTGGTGGAAATGGGGCTTAGCTGTGTCCGTCTGCTGTGTGGTGCTGAGTTGGGAGTGTAAAGTGGGTTTATCAGAGCTTGTTCTGCTGAAAACAGCTGCCTACTGCTGCTGCTGTTGGAAACTCAGAGACTGAACCAGACAGTAAAAGTAAAACCAAAACGGTGAGCTAAAAGAGGCTGAAAAGCTCCATAGAGCTCTTCTCTCTGGGTCCACCAACAAGAGACACCTTTCACATTAAACAGTCAAATTAAAATACTGAATAGTGCAGCTTTAAAAATGATCTAACATGTTGAGTTCGGGTTTCTCACCCTGGCAATCTTCTCGGCCAGCTGTAACCTTCCGTCCAGCTCTCTGCGGATCTGAGCCGCCTGCTCGTCCACGTTGTCCAGCTGAGAAAGAAAAAACATAAACATTAAGTTTCATCAGTCAGCCAATCAGAGAGCTGCAGAATCAATAAAGCAGTCAAAAGGTGAAGGACAGACACAGCAGGGCAGGTCTACTCCGGAGAAGTAGATTTTAAAGGAAGCTCAGTTTTGCATTGATCAGCCAGTTAGCAGCTATGGTGGTTATGAACAACAGTAATTAGCCAATTAGTGAGTGAGGGTCTGAGATCAGCTGTTCAGCCACTTCATCGTGTCTCTCGACCAGTTACAGAGGAGAGAAGCTGTTTGGCTGATGTCAGAGTACAAGCTGCAGGTCATTCAGCTGCAGTTCCTCTAATGTCCACAAGATGCTGCTACATATATCTCTCTGACTGTATTAAAGTCAATGGGAACACTTTTTTTTTTCCCCCTCACAAACTTTTCATCTATTGTGTCATTTTGGCTGGAAAGATATTAGGACATCATTTTACTATCATAGTCCATCTGATAACATGTAAATCACGTGCAAGGACGTTTTTTTTTTTTTTTGTTTTTTTTAAAGAAAAGAAATTCAACATTTTAATTTATATCAAGTTAACTTTTAAAAAGTTTAAATCAGCAAACATAAAAACATGTCAGTGAATAAATCATGTTGCATGACCCACTGTCTCAGCCCTGTGATAGTCTGGAGACCTGTTTAGGATATACCCCGCCTCTCGCCCAATGTCAGCTGGGATAGGCTCCAGTTTCGTCTTCTGTTGTTCTAAGCTTTGAAATGTCTCATCTGGCTGTGAGCAGGAGTAATTTTATTAATAAAACAGCAGAGTAAACTTAATAATTTGGTGGAAGTGAAAGGGAAGTTGGTACTGTAAAGCTCCTGTTCACTGTCCCCACTGTGGTTTCACCTTCACCACAGAGAGCTGTGCCATTTGAGCAAGACACCGTCCAACAAGTCATCTGTTAAACTTGATGTCAGCGAGACTCAAAGAGGAGATGAAAGCAGAGGGAAAATTGAAGGAGGTTTGCTTACTGGGCAGAAAACAGCGCCTCGTTACACAAATCTGTGATGAGCAGAGGCGTCTAAAATGACAATCGGAGATAAAACAGCTCTGATGGAAGCTGGCCTGAAGCCAAAGAGACAAGTGGAACCTTCAGAGCCGATAACAGAGAGAAAAGATAAGCTGTTTAATTTGAGACTGTTTTAAAATGGGTCCCAGAAAATCAGTTTTAAAAATCAGCCGTCAGTGTCTCAGTTACAATGAATGCAAACTTCCTTTAGTCACACTGAGGAGTTATCCAGACCTGCAGCTGGAGAGGAAAACGCTGAGCAGCAAGTTCTCAACTAAAAATCAAACTGTGCCACAACTGCAGACCACACCCTCAGGTGGAAGGACCGAGAAGTTCATCATGTTTTTATTCTGTTGGAAAACTGACTCACACTGACACCATCCACTGCAGCGCTCTTCATGTTTCTGTTTGTAGTTTCTGACATTGCTGAAGGGATTCTTTGAAACTGTTTGGATTTGTTGTGTTAGGATGGAAAGATCACACACACTACAAGTATTTGTTGTTAAGCTTCAGCCTTTAGAACATGATTTTGAAGAAGAAGAAGAAATCTAAGGCAGTTGGGTATAATGACTTCACTTGCTCCCTGGTTTTATTATAATATCAATAATGTATACTGAACAAAAATATAAACACAACACTTTTGTTTTTGCTCCCATTTTTCATGAGCTGAACTTAAAGATCTAAAACATTTTCTATATACACAAAAGACCATTTCCCTCAAATATTGTTCACAAATCTGTCTAAATCTGTGTTAGTGAGCACTTCTCCTTTGCTGAGATAATCCATCCCACCTCACAGGTGTGGCATATCAAGATGCTGATTAGACAGCATGATTATTGCACAGGTTTGCCTTAGGCTGGACACAATAAAAGGCCACTCTGAAATGTGCAGTTTTGCTTTATTGGAGGGGTCTGGGGGGGTCAGAAAACCAGTCAGTATCTGGTGTGACCACCATTTGCCTCACGCAGTGCAACACATCTCCTTCGCATAGAGTTGATCAGGTTGTTGATTGTGGCCTGTGGAATGTTGGTCCACTCCTCTTCAATGGCTGTGCCAAGTTGCTGGATATTGGCAGGAACTGGAACACGCTGTCGTATACGCCAATCCAGAGCATCCCAAACATGCTCAATGGGTGACATGTCCGGTGAGTATGCTGGCCATGCAAGAACTGGGATGTTTTCAGCTTCCAGGACTTGTGTACAGATCCTTGCAACATGGGGCCGTGCATTATCATGCTGCAACATGAGGTGATGGTCGTGGATGAATGGCACAACAATGGGCCTCAGGATCTTGTCATGGTATCTCTGTGCATTCAAAATGCCATCAATAAAATGCACCTGTGTTAGTTGTCCATAACATACGCCTGCCCATACCATAACCCCACCGCCATCATGGGCCACTCGATCCACAACGTTGACATCAGCAAACCGCTCACCCACACGATGCCACACACGCTGTCTGCCATCTGCCCTGAACAGTGAAAACCGGGATTCATCCGTGAAGAGAACACCTCTCCAACGTGTCAGACGCCATCGAATGTGAGCATTTGCCCACTCAAGTCAGTTACGACAACGAACTGCAGTCAGGTCGAGACCCCGATGAGGACGACGAGCATGCAGATGAGCTTCCCTGAGACGGTTTCTGACAGTTTGTGCAGAAATTCTTTGGTTATGCAAACCGATTGTTGCAGCAGCTGTCCGGGTGGCTTGTCTCAGACGATCTTGGAGGTGAACATGCTGGATGTGGAGGTCCTGGGCTGGTGTGGTTACACGTGGTCTGCGGTTGTGAGGCCGATTGGATGTAGTGCCAAATTGTCTGAAACGCCTTTGGAGACGGCTTATGGTAGAGAAATGAACATTCAATTCACGGGCAACAGCTCTGGTGGACATTCCTGCAGTCAGCATGCTAATTGCACGTTCCCTCAAAACTTGCGACATCTGTGGCATTGTGCTGTGTGATAAAACTGAACATTTAAGAGTGGCCTTTTATTGTGACCAGCCTAAGGCACACCTGTGCAATAATCATGCTGTCTAATCAGCATCTTGATATGCCACACCTGTGAGGTGGGATGGATTATCTCGGCAAAGGAGAAGTGCTCACTAACACAGATTTAGACAGATTTGTGAACTATATTTGTGTGAAACGGTCTTTTGTGTGTACAGAAAAATGAAAAATGGGAGCAAAAACAAAAGTGTTGCGTTTATATTTTTGTTCAGTGTAATTAAAAGTGAGGGTCAGTATCATGGAACAAGACACAATAAAGCAGATTACTGGTGAACTTTACTCAGAACAAGGCTTTGAGCCCCGTCTGCATGGTGGTGTGATGACTGGCACAAGCAGTTCTCTGACCATTTAGTATTTTCTTGACTTTGAAATTCTCTTTGCCAAACGAGGAGAGGGTTAGAGGGTTAGAAACTGAAGCCAACACTTAAGTGCCAAAAACTGCAGTTCGTCAAATGACCACTTGAGGCTGGCTCCAGAAGCGAGTCAACCTCCAGTGACCCTAATGTTAAAATAGCACCTGAGAGAGATTAATGACATTTTCTGCAGTGGCCATATTTTTAAAATAGTTATTTAATAAATAATTTGGTTATTTAAAAAAAAATTCATCGCCATCACTTCATGTCACCACTTCCTGTCAGGCCTGACATCCGCCTGCACTAATTGCTGAGAGATGAAGATTTGTTCATGGATGATTTGACAGGTCTTATTTCGGTTCAGTCAACAAAATGTTTCAGTAACCTGGTGGTGTGGATCCATGTGCAGAGACACTCTGACATCCACAGATGAAAACTAATAGACACGTTTAGTCATTCTGCAGTCGTTACTGATGAGGTCTGCTGATCAAAGAGTCCTAATTAACTCAACACTGTGAGGGAAGAAAAGGGAATTAATTTTCAGAGTGATGGGGGTCAAACCAGCATGCACATGTCAGACACATAAACTAGTTTTTGTGTTTCTCACTTAAAGCTGCAGTGGGCAGATTCATTTTGGCCCATAATAAACTTTTAGCATCTTGTAATTCAAGTGGACTGAGAGGAAACTAGAATTCTGCACCTCCTCTTGGCTCTGTTTTCAGGCGTTTGACTTCACCAATCACAGGCCATTTCAGAACTGGAGCTAACCTTCTAACTGGAGCTGATTCTCACAGCTGCAGCTTCACGTTCATGTTTATGTAGCCAACATTAGCGAGAGTCTCAAATCACCGTGTGTCCTCCACCTCACTCCCCGCTGCTACAGACCACCTCATCAGTCCCAGTCAGAGGCTGCAGCATTCCAAATCCAGCCAACAACAACCTCAGCTCCAGAGGACCAAATAGCCCTGACTCCCCACTGGATCAGTAAACTTTCTGTTGCTGCCATTACACAGGTTAGACCTAGAACTGTCACTGGCCACCAGCCCGCTGTGACACTAGGTGCTAGAGGGTTGGCACTGGTTAAAGTATGGTAGCTACAGCCACAGTTTGAAGGCTGTCTTGGAGCTGCTGTCCGCTCTCCTTCTGGGGGAACAGTCCAAAGTTGTGGGGAGCGAGGCGGAAGGACCGTGGGGCAGCTAGCAGCCAAGTCTTGTCTCATTTGTGGTTTGATAAACAGAGAGAGCAGGGCAAGGAGGGGCTGAGCAAACACAATGAAATAAGATAAAGCAAATCAAAGTATGGGAAACACTGGGTAACTGAATTAAGCGCGTGCACATGCCTGTTCTCTGGTAGGAGGGGCTTAGGACAGAGAGGGGAGAGCCTCTCTTTTATTTAGCCCACTCCAGTTTTAGTGTTTATTCCCTGAAAGGAGGCATTAAGACAGGTTTATGCTTTAATTAAAAATTAATATTAATACAGCATAGGCTTGTGCCGATTTCCGGTTTGGTCCGGTTTAAGAGCTCCACCCGGTTTAATTCACGTCACCTGGATAAACCGGAGGAGAAAAAAAAAAAAAAAAAAAAAGCTTTTCACATCGGCGGG